GTAATTTTCTTATCTGCATTTGCATATTAATGATACATGTGTACATGTTCTTTCTTTAACCACTTGCCTTCTGGAAGACTTTCCCCCCATTCATGACCAGGCCATTTTTTGCTATACAGCGATGCGCTACTTTAACTGACAATTGCCTGGTCATAAGAAACTGTACACAAATAAAATTTATATGCTTTTTCACACAAATTGAGCTTTCTTTTCGTGGTATTTTATTTTTTATTTTTTGCACTATAAACAACTAAATACTGAACTTTAAAAACAAAACTATATTTTTCACTTTTTGCTATCAAACATATCCAAAAAAAAAATTAAAAAAAAATTTCTTTATAAATTTAGCCAAAATGAACAGTATTTTGATACATGTTTTTGGTTAAAAAGAAGTGTATATTAATTGGTTGCATGAATAAACTAGTGATGGCGGTGATCCTAGGGACTGTGATAGTACAGCAAGCATTCTGACACTAACTGACACTGGTTGGGAACTGACTAAATGACAATGATATCTCCAGTGATATTAATACTATTATATCTGTACTATACTATACTAATACTATACTGTACTATTGACACTGGGCAGGAAGGGGTTAACATCTGAGATGATCAAAGGGTTTTAACCGTGTGTTAGTGAGTGTGAGTATTGTGCACTGTGTACTGTTTTACTAGATATGCAGGTTTTTATTCCCTGTTTTGCAGGGAGATAAAAATTTGTACATCCCCGCCGACAGGAGAGAGATCTGTGTTGTTTACATGCACAGATCTCTCTCCTGTCAGTTGCTCCGTCGATTGCTGGATCCTGGCCATGAATTGCTGGCTGGGACCCGATGTTTGACACGTACAGAAGCCAATGACAGCACAGGTAGGCGCCACGTGCACTCCCACAAATGCAGAATCATGTATATATACTATAGGCTGGCTGCAAAGTGGTTAAAGTGTTACTAAACCCAGGTCTCTGCATTCACTATATCTGGTCTCCCACAGTACACAGAACAAGGAAGTGCAATTATTTTAGTAAATATAAACTGATAAATATCTATTCTCATTAGCAGCATATAGTGGTCTTGTGATCTCTATCAATGTCCAGCTGAGCACTGGTTGAAGCTTGTAGGAGAAATTTTGTAGGAGGATGCAGGACCCCTGACCTCTGTCTGGACATTTAATGTGTAACAAAGTGAGCGCTAAAATGAGAAGATAAATAAGCAGCTAATAGCACTAGAGGTGATCACAACCACCTCCGGTATAAACAATAAAATAAAGTGCAGCGCTAAGAAGGCAGAATAAAAAGTTCGATATAAAGTTCGATATAAAAAGTTCGATCCATAAATAATAATTGGTCCGTGAATGTGAAGGACACAGCTTATAGTGATCCGGAAAAATGGCAGAAATGCGCACTCACCGACCGCACATAGGAAATGTGCATGTGTATATCAAAATCCTACAGATGTCGTTATCCCCCAGGGAGAGGTGTCATCAATCGATCTGCTGGACTTGTAGAGCCTCTTTAGGATGGAGATGAGTCCACCGGACAGAAGAATCCCTCCAGGTAAAAGCTTCCCTCCTCTGGAAGTAGTATGCAGCTGTGTCTGCTAACCCCTCAGAAGAGGGGCAAAAAGTGGTAGAGTACCCATAGTGTAGTAAATCAAGTAATTTATTGATAAAACAATAGAATAGAACAGGTCAGCAATAGTGTTAGCAAGTGCCTGGAAACACAATAGAAAAAGTGTGTTACTGACCCTAGAATAGATGCTGGCCGCACGAAACCCCTGGTGGTCTGAGCGGCCTGTGAGGCGTCACAGGCTGTCAGTTCCTCCTGAGGGGTTTCGTGCTAAGGCACATATATTTAGGGTCAGTAACACGCTTTTTCTATTGTGTTTCCAGGCACTTGCTAACACTATTGCTGACCTGTTCTATTCTATTGTTTTATCAATAAATTACTTGATTTACTACACTATGGGTACTCTACCACTTTTTGCCCCTCTTCTGAGGGGTTAGCAGACACAGCTGCATACTACTTCCAGAGGAGGGAAGCTTTTACCTGGAGGGATTCTTCTGTCCGGTGGACTCATCTCCATCCTAAAGAGGCTCTACAAGTCCAGCAGATCGATTGATGACACCTCTCCCTGGGGGATAACGACATCTGTAGGATTTTGATATACACATGCACATTTCCTATGTGCGGTCGGTGAGTGCGCATTTCTGCCATTTTTCCGGATCACTATAAGCTGTGTCCTTCACATTCACGGACCAATTATTATTTATGGATCGAACTTTTTATATCGAACTCTGTCTGGACATTGCTGATTGGCCCTGTGTTGATCACATGCACTCTCCCAAGGAAAAAAAAACCTCTCTAGCAATACATAACAAACTGAGCATGTGCAGAGTGACTCCACACAATATGTCTTAACAGGAGCTAAGAGGGGGGCACTCGAAGAAGGGGAGGAACAGAGAAGACAGGATCAAACAGCATTTTTACACAATGTAGACAGTTAACCACTTAAGTTCCACAGTGAGTATAACAAGCGTGCTTTACTGCATATACAGACTGATTTTACTGCTGTGTGTTTAGAAACACTTTAAGAGCCACCAGATGACACTATATGGTAGCTGTCAGTATGCTGATGCTGCTAAACTCTGGCATGGGCATTCAGGAATCGATGAGCTCTTTCAATGAAAATGTTAAAACCATACGTACACAAATGTAAAAGAACATATACAGGTGGAGCAGATGTGGCTGGCAGCTTGTTTATGGATACCACCTCCAATGCAAAGCAAAGACCCAAATTATTGGTTACTGTTACAAAGCTGAAGGTGAGGTTTTAGCAACCGACTGATAATTTTCTGGTTCTCTTTTATAGAGATAACCTGTAAATAGATTAAGGGAAACCCATGGAGTATGGGATGGTGGTGGTGTTCCCAAATGACCTTTAAAGTATCAGGATACCTAAAAGCTGAAAATGATAAATGTAGCTCAGATACCTGAGACTGCGATAAACTGACTGCACTCTGAACCTCCACATAGATTGGTATAATCCAAAGGAAAAGGTACACATTGATTATGTCTTCACATTCAAAACTTTAATCAGCTGACAAGTTTCAGTTCATAGCTCTGCCCCCCGGGACCATCCCTTTAACATGTTTCACTTGATGGGCTTAATTACAGAGGATCTGAACCTCTATTGACATACACTCACATGGCCAAATAGTAAAGGTTGAAAGAGAAATAGAATGAATTACAAACCTACTTGTTAATCTTTGTATGCTATTTTTTCCACTCCTCAATATAAGCCTTTCTAAACCGCCAGTCCTGCACTGTACAGTATATAAGGAAAGCACGGGCCTGTCCACAACCTGGGACATCAGACAACGTAGGAGATTGCCAGCTGCTGGGGGAGCAAGAGATAGGTAGGTACCTGAACACAAGTTAGGTTTCTTTTTTTTTTTTCGGTCAGCAATTTTTTGTATATGCCAAGAAAAGGTGACAGCCTTTAATGTACCCTGATGTCTGCAACCTGGGAGTTGTTCTGCAGCAAAGTCCATTATTTCTTGCAGAATGTGCTTGGTAATCCCAGGAAGATCCTTCGATTCTGTGCTTTAAGTCTTAGGCATATTAGCAACTCTGCCATCATAGTGTCAAAACAAGCCTAAATATAAAGACACAAGATGGTAAAAACAAGGTTGAGTGTTGAGACAGGAGGCACCAAGAGTTTTCTTCTAAAACAATTGAGCTTCAGCCGTTGGCAAAGAAAAGAAATGCTAGGAAAGAAGAGGTGCCAGGAGGAGCAAATGTTGGCATCAGCAACAGCGAGGAAAAGAGGTAAAAGTTTTTGGACTTTTCTAACTTAAAAGATAAAATAAATGTGTAGATTTTATCAGTGACCTCTGCTGTGGGTGGTAGTCCTTTGTGATCAAGGCCTGGTTAAATGCAATCAAAACACAGCTTCTCAGTCACAAATCTTTCCACTGTACTGAAGGCCCTCTTCTGACATGACACCTATTGAAAGGCAGGCTGCTTTGTTAAACACATATTGGGCCACCTATTGGGCCACCTCCAGCCAGTGGGACATTCTCGACAACTGGGAATAACTTTTCTTACTTACAGCCTTGCCATCCCTGCCTGTGTTTGCTTGGCCAGGACAGAGATGTCCAAAATAATAAACATTTTTATTTTTAAAGCAAAACAGTACATATTGTACTGTAATTAAACACAAAAAATAGTAATGACAAGTGGAAATATGTAAACGGAGAAGTACAGTCAAAGCTCGTTTGGCTGTACTTCTCCTGTGGACCCCATTAGTGCAGTTCGTCCTGCACGCCTGTGAACCGTCGACAGTTTGCTCAAGTCTTCTGTTGGCTGATGTCACTCATCTGATCCAGGCTGGGGAAAGATCGTGACCATATGGTGGGAATAAACACAGGAACCTGAACTGACACTTGGCTTAGCCTCTTAGCCAGCCACTCCTGCCCCCTCCACAGCCTAGCTGTAAGGGATTTCCGGCAAGATGAATCACGATTAGAAGTGCGCATGCGCATAGGAACTCCCGGAGAAGAGTTGTCGGTTGTGCGCATGCGCGCAGAAATGAGTGAGCGCGCACACACACGACGAAGATTGGCACCAGACGAGCTATTTAAAGAGTGTCTCTGCCCATGTTAGGTGCTGACTGGTCTTCAGCTCCCCCGTGTCCTGCTTGTTCCCATGCGATTCCTTTGTTGCTGACCCGGCTTGTTCCTGACCTGACTCTGATTGCTCTCCTGATTGATACTGGTTCCTGACTTCGGCTCTGCTCCTGACTTTGGCTTTCCTTCTGATTCTGTACTGTGCTGCCCGACTGTTGATGACCCTGGCTATTCCTATGACTAGAGATGAGCGAAGTATTCAAAAATTCGATTCGGCTGATTCGGCGAATTCGCGGAATAAATTCGATTCGAGTCGAATATATTCGCTGCGAATTTAACTTATAAAAAGGGTGTTTCTAGGCTTCAGAGAGCCTTTATATTAGTGCAGAACACTGTACCTTTAATTTAAATGCCCTTGGAGTCTGCTGGGGAAGAGAAATAATACTGTCAGTCAGTATGACATGCAGATGAGTGCCGTCGATCTTAGAATCACCGCACACTTCACTCATTTGGGCAGTCACGAGGCCAAAACCAGAGTGTGGAGCCACAGTGTGGCGGTGGAGGCAGCAGCAATGGGAGGCCATACAGCACCCTATGACAAAATGGAACCCACCAGCAGTGTGAGGAGACCTGAAAGTGGCACATGGCAGAGTGTGGCGATGGAGACAGCAGCAATGTGAGGCCGTACAGGGACCCATGAGACACTCTGGACCTGGCAGCAGCATGAGGAGGCGGTACAGGGGCATATGACAGATTACGGGCCTGGCAGCAGCATGAGGAGTCGGTACAGGGGCCCATGGCAGATTACGGGCCTGGCAGCAGCAATGGGAGGCCCGTAATCTGCCAGCACCCTATGACAAAATGGAACCCACCAGCAGTGTGAGGAGACCTGAAAGTGGCACATGGCAGAGTGTGGCGATGGAGACAGCAGCAATGGGAGGCCGTACAGGGACCCATGAGACACTCTGGACCTGGCAGCAGCATGAGGAGGCGGTACGGGGGCCCATGGCAGATTACGGGCCTGGCAGCAGCAATGGGAGGCCCGTAATCTGCCAGCACCCTATGACAAAATGGAACCCACCAGCAGTGTGAGGAGACCTGAAAGTGGCACATGGCAGAGTGTGGCGATGGAGACAGCAGCAATGGGAGGCCGTACAGGGACCCATGAGACAGTCTGGACCTGGCAGCAGCATGAGGAGGCGGTACGGGGGCCCATGGCAGATTACGGGCCTGGCAGCAGCAATGGGAGGCCCGTAATCTGCCAGCACCCTATGACAAAATGGAACCCACCAGCAGTGTGAGGAGACCTGAAAGTGGCACATGGCAGAGTGTGGCGATGGAGACAGCAGCAATGGGAGGCCGTACAGGGACCCATGAGACACTCTGGACCTGGCAGCAGCATGAGGAGGCGGTACAGGGGCCCATGACAGATTACGGGACTGGCAGCAGCATGAGGAGTCGGTACGGGGGCCCATGGCAGATTACGGGCCTGGCAGATGACGACGAGGCTGCCAAGTGCGATCAGCCTCATCATCATCAATTAGGGTCTCCGCCTCACTACTAGCCCCCTCGGCTGCGTGTGGGTCAGGAGACAGACCTGTCTCTAGACCGGCTAACGAGCCACTCTCCCCGCCAGTACTTCTTCGCCTGGCTGCTGAAGAGGCGGATGTCTCCCCCCGTTCCTGACCACCCTCTGTTAGCTCTTCCTCACTGTACAGTGGGGCTGAGCCCACAGCATGCGATACTTCGCTTGGTGAGGGAACACCAAAGGACAGGGGCAGGTAGAGGACACGTGATTTCAGTGGGCTTGCTCCCGGGCCATGCCAACTAACGGTTGTGTCTGACGTACCCACCGACCGTTGGCTGTAGGTGTCAGAGGTGACCTGGGAAGAGGAAGACGACCGAGCCAACCAATCGATGACGGCAGGGTTGTCGGTGGAGACACGACCGCTGGATGACACCGGGAGCACTGGCCTCTGGCTGCGACTAGTGCTGCCTCGACCCCTTCCTCTGCTGCCACATTGCCTCCTCTGCCACTCCTCTGCGTGTTGTCTGACATACTCTTTAATTCAACAATTCTGTGTCCCTGAGTAACAATTCTGTGTCCCTGAGTAACGATTCTGTGTCCCTCAGTAACGATTCTGTGTCCCTCAGTAACGATTCTGTGTCCCTCAGTAACAATTCTGTGTCCCTGAGTAACAATTCTGTGTCCCTGAGTAACAATTCTGTGTCTGTCCCTGAGTAACAATTCTGTGTCCCTCAGTAACAATTCTGTGTCCCTCAGTAACAATTCTGTGTCCCTGAGTAACAATTCTGTGTCCCTGAGTAACAATTCTGTGTCTGTCCCTCAGTAACAATTCTGTGTCCCTGAGTAACAATTCTGTGTCCCTGAGTAACAATTCTGTGTCCCTGAGTAACAATTCTGTGTCTGTCCCTGAGTAACAATTCTGTGTCCCTCAGTAACAATTCTGTGTCCCTCAGTAACAATTCTGTGTCCCTCAGTAACAATTCTGTGTCCCTGAGTAACAATTCTGTGTCTGTCCCTGAGTAACAATTCTGTGTCCCTCAGTAACAATTCTGTGTCCCTGAGTAACAATTGTGTCCCTGAGTAACAATTCTGTGTCTGTCCCTGAGTAACAATTCTGTGTGTCCCTGAGTAACAATTCTGTGTCCCTGAGTAACAATTCTGTGTCCCTGAGTAACAATTCTGTGTCTGTCCCTGAGTAACAATTCTGTGTCCCTCAGTAACAATTCTGTGTCCCTGAGTAACAATTCTGTGTCCCTCAGTAACAATTCTGTGTCCCTCAGTAACAATTCTGTGTCTGTCCCTGAGTAACAATTCTGTGTCCCTGAGTAACAATTCTGTGTCCCTCAGTAACAATTCTGTGTCCCTCAGTAACCTCAGTAACAATTCTGTGTCTGTCCCTCAGTAACAATTCTGTGTCCCTGAGTAACAATTCTGTGTCCCTGAGTAACAATTCTGTGTCCCTCAGTAACAATTCTGTGTCCCTCAGTAACAATTCTGTGTCTGTCCCTGTAACAATTCTGTGTCCCTCCTCAGTAACAATTCTGTGTCCCTCAGTAACAATTCTGTGTCTGTCCCTGAGTAACAATTCTGTGTCCCTGAGTAACAATTCTGTGTCCCTCAGTAACAATTCTGTGTCCCTCAGTAACAATTCTGTGTCTGTCCCTGAGTAACAATTCTGTGTCCCTGATTAACGATTCTGTGTCCCTGAGTAACGATTCTGTGTCCCTAAGTAACGATTCTGTGGCCCTAAAGTCTCTCTGGCCCTAACTCTGTCCCTAATACAGACAGGTCTGTCTCTCTTGAATGACCGCAGGCTAATGGAGAATTGTAAGATGGCTGCAATTTATAGCTCCACCATTACACAGTGCTGGCTGGCTGGCTGCTGATTGGCTAATGCGATCACATGTCATGAATGAATGCATTATGGGTCAGCGCGCCTTGTCTGCGCGCCTTCCCAGAGATCCCCGCTCCGTCGCCACACATGTCGCCGCCATTTTTGGGAAAATTCGATTCGTACATCCGAAGTTGGCTAATTTTCGGATTCGGCGCGAATCGAAATATTTCCCAATATTCGAAACAAATTCCACTTCGCCATGTTCGATTCGCTCATCCCTACCTATGACACTGCTCCTGTCTATTACCCACATTACCTGCCTTGCTCTGGTGCACGCCTGGCAATCTACAAGACCCGCTCTGCTTGTTACTATTGTGCCTGAATCAGAAGATCATCAGTCCTCCAAGGTCATCATCTGCAAGAGCTGCAAACAACAACTACTGGCGCTCTTGTCCCCCTGGTCCCTAGACTCCCTCTGTTTCAACTCCAGTGCGGTCAGGGCTAGTGACACAAGTAAGGCCGACCTCGTCATTGCAGTCTCCCATCAGGTACGTGACACTAGCACTCCAGTGAATGCTGGCGGAGGCAGAGCAGAGAGCAGTGACTGACAATCATGGCTGTCTGCTCAAAGTGGCAGAGAGAACTGAGCGATCAGCTGTGTCTGATCACTCAGTTTTCATCCTGAGAGCTAGGGCATCAGACCAGTCAAGCATCAGATCAATGCTGCATCCACCTAGGCAAGTATGATTTAAAAAAAAAAAAAAAAAAAAACATACTTCTCTTTTAATGTTGAACCATCCAGGCCATAGACTGGAGGAAAGAGGCTGTTTTCACCCCTTGTTATAGAAACCGTTGAAGTGCCAAGAAGTTTATTATTATTATTATTATATACAGTATTTATATAGCGCCAACAGTTCGCTCAGCGTTGTACATTACAATGGGATACAATACATGAGACAGTACAATAACAATACAGTGCGATACACGAGGGGTTCGAGGGCCCTGCTCCTTGGAGCTTACAATCTAGGAGGGAGGGGATAGTGGTACGGGAGGAAAAGCTGTGGGAGATGGAGTGGTATGAAGAGTGGAGGAGATCGGCAGTTAGCAGAAGGTGGGGTAGGCTTCCCTGAAGAGGTGGGTTTTTAGGGTGCACCTAAAGGAGAGGAGAGTGGGTGATAGTCTGATGGATTAGGGTAGAGAGTTCCAGTGGATGGGCTATGCCCTGGAGGAGGAGATCAGGGAACTAGAGAGAAGGAAGTCTTGTGAAGAGCGGAGAGTGCGTTTTGGGTGGTATTTGGATATTAGGTCGGTGATGTAGTTTGGGGCAGAATTATGGACAGCTTTGTACGTCAGTGTTAGCAGTTTGAATTTGATCCGTTGGGCAATCGGAAGCCAGTGGAGGGATTGGAAGAGGGGGGTGGCGGAAATGGAGCGATTGTAAGGTGGATGAGTCTGGCTGCCGTATTCAGGATCGACTGAAGTGGGGATAGCCTGTGGTGAGGCAAGCCAGTGAGGAGGGAGTTGCAGTAATCAAGTCGTGATATGATGAGGAAGTGGATGAGCTGCTTAGTAGTTTCTGGGGTTAGGAATGGGCGTATTTTGGCGATGTTGCGGAGGTGGAGTCTGCATGAGTTTGTTAGCGATTGGACTTGGGGCTGGAAGGATAGATTGGAGTCTAGTATGACACCAAGTACTCTGGCTTGCGGGGTGGGCTTGATGGTGGCATGGTTAGACGTGATGGAGAAGTCAGTGGGGGGGGGGGTGCGCAGGCTGGGGGGAAGACTAGAAGCTCGGTTTTGGAGAGGTTCAGTTTAAGGAAGTGGAGCGATATCCAATCTGATATGTCATTCAGTAGGCTGGTGATTCGGGCGGAGACTGAAGGGGTGAGGTGGGGGGTCGAGACATAGATTTGCGAGTCATCGGCATAGAGGTGGTAGTTGAAGCCGTGAGAGTGTATCAGTTGGCCAAGGGAGGAGGTGTAGATGGAGAAGAGAAGGGGCCTGAGGGACAGAGCCTTGAGAGACCCAAACAGAGAGGGAGAGTGGGGGGGAGGTGGTAGTGTTATAGGGTAAGCTGAAGGAGCGTTGTGATAGGTAGGATGAGAGCCAGGAGAGAGCGGAGTCTCTGAGGCCAAGGGAGTGTAGTTTCTTGAGGAGGAGGGGGTGGTCCACTGTATTGAACGCTGCGGAGAGGTCAAGGAGTAGGAGCACTGAGTAGTGGCCATTAGCTTTGGCTTAGCCTTTGCATTTGGGCATTGTGTGTATGGGCAGTTTGGGAAGATTTTTTTCTTCTGCTCCAGCAACTGGTGGAATGGAAGCCTGGTGTGGAAAGGTTTTTGCATGTTATCAGTATGTTCAATCATAGCGATCACATGATACCTTGTAAGCAAACTGTCCTGAATGGCTTTCATTCATGACATTTTTCTTTCTGCTGTGATGGTGTAATTGGTCACAAGTGATCACATTGTACATTGGATAATCAAAGCACCCTGTATATTGCAGTTACTTAGGTATCATGCAAAAAATCCTGTATAATATCTAGCAATAATCATAAGTGGCAATATGACACATTACTGGCTTTTTCATGAATCGAATTTCATTTTATTTAATAAGAAGACGTGATAAATATAAAGATGAACTAGGAAACCCCTTTAGAAAAGTGAAAAAATTGCTGCAACTGAAAAATAGTATACACAGACATATAATCCTACAGGGAACCCTAGCAGGGTTACAGTTGAATTCTCAAAACAGCTTTGAAATACTGTGAACTTTATCCATTGTATATGAATTCCAGATCCATCCTGGTTCAGTCTGTTGAACTCTACTGGGATTCTGACAATATGTCCTTCACATGTCATTTAGTATGCTGCAAGCTGAAGCAACTAAAGGGGTCAGAATATTAGTGTTTAAAACTGAATTTTAATATGCCAGGGTAGAAAACAAGATCTTTGTCTACTATTAGTTGTATCATCAAAGTAAAGGTCTGAATCCTAGAGTGAGGTTCAATGATTAATGAAGTATGGTATACTCCATCAAGAAATCCTTTCTCTGAAATGTCACAAAT